GACACACAATTCAGAACTCTCGAAGACGTTCCGATAAATGCCCAGACGACGCGTAAATCGCGTCAAAACCACCGAGTTTTTATCTCAGGATTCGTAATTTACCAGAAAAGTGGCAAGAAGCGTAGAAAACAACGGCGAATATGTAAGAACCTAGGGAAAAATTTTGATGGACCCAACCGGGAATCGAACCCGGGACCTTCGGCTTAGCAAGCCGAGGCTTTGCGCACTACGCCAACTACCCCCCCTCTGTTCTCCCGTGTTGGTTTCCTATTTGAGTAAGGAGGCCGCGATACTGCAAATATATCAACGATTATCTTCTCATATCTTTTTTTAAATGAAATTTTTACTTTATCAAAAAGCTTATTTCTACACCTGATATAATATATTAGATTCAAGAAATAAATAGTTCCTGCATGACAAGTTGTATACGCTACTTCCCCTTTAACTTTGTACAAATGCTGTTTCCTTCCTATACCTATACAGTCAACCCTCCTACAACGCGGTACTCTTATAACACGGTTTCCATATAACGCGACGTTTCCAAAATTGCGACGGCCCTCCTATAACGCGGTACTCTTATAACGCGGTTTCCGTTCAACAACATTCCATCAACTTAATTGGTTTAAGAAGATTCTCTATAGCATGAATTTATCTATGTGTTAAATTTTTACAGTTGAAATTAGCGGGGAATTCCCTTCTTTTTGGTGAAGGTACATCACCATTTTCCAATTTCAGTTATCAGGGAATTCCCCTATAAGCCGAAGAAACGATGCGAGATCGTTCACAGTGTTCTGTTTTAATGGGTGCCAAATCTCAATTTATATGATGTGAAAAAAGGGCTAAATTTGGATAAAGAATTAGAACTTCATTTCGCTCAAACTGATCATTCAATGGTGCGCAGCGCAAAGTTTAAAAGAGAGTTAAGAAACTGCTTAGCTCCGTATAGAGAGGTTTTAGTACAGTTAGAAAAAAAAGCTAAGATTGAAAATCAACATGAAGATTTGTCAGATGAGGAAGACATTTGGCCCATTAAAAAACGAAGAGTTAGGCCACTCATATTTGAAAGCGAGGATGAGTGTTAAGAGCGTTCAATACACATGAAATTATGTTACACAATTTTACATAATTTTCTTGGTTTTGTTGAAAAACAGTTTTTTAGTTTAGTTTTAGTTTGATTTTTTTTATCATTTCTTTGTATGAACTCTTCGATTAAATAAAAATAATTTTATTGTACTTAACATATTATCTTGCCTTTTGTGTTTGTAAAATTTTTTCCACAACCGTATGCACCGTAACTTGACGCTCTGAGAATGCAATTTTCATTCAACGCAGAACGAATCAAACTGATTAACAAGTGATTTTACTTACTTCCGAGTTTCACTCAACGCGGTTTCCATATAACGCGGCACGAATTAATCTAGTTTGCACGTTAAATCTGAGTTTCTTATAGCGCGGTTTCCATATAACGCGGTACGAATTAATCGCGTTATAGGAGGGTTGACTGTACTAATTAGTTAATAACAATGTAAGTAAAGTAAGTTAAGTGAATTAATGTGAGTAAGTTAAGCAATATACCTGCACAAATAACAATATTACACGAAAGGCTGTAATAGTGTACAAAATGTGTGGTCGCTAATGGAAAATACGCTGATCCGACGTTATATAAATAAGTAAAAGAAAGAGAAACCAATAAGCAATCAATTACTCTAAAGGTACAACTGTACAATCAGAGTTGTCACTATCGTAATGTTCACTCTTTGGGTTGACATGTAACAATGGTAACGTATTATTTTCCAACAATTCGCCGATAGTGCTCCGTACCGAATTGTTCACTTGCGCGTTTTTCTGGATATGTTGAACTAAGTTTATCACTCCAGCTTGAAAGACCAGTCTCTCATTGTCGTTGAACGAATTCAGCATCGGTAGGATGCTTTTGAAAAATAACATGTACATATTTTCCGTCTCCTTTCTCTGGGAATCTAGATGCTGATCTATAAATTTCACCATTCTCGAATTTAACTCCTCCTCGATGTTGTTCCTCCTCTTCTTCCCACCGGAAGTGCTCGCCGCACCTTCAAAACTTTCTCCATCCTCCATGCTACCTCTATCCTCCTCCGTATTACTTTTTTCCTCCTCTGTATTACTTCTTTCTTCCAACGTGCTGCTTCCTTCTCCCGCTACGTCATCTCGTTCCTCTTCTACCGTTTTATTATTAGTACTTCCACCGGCAATCGTTGGTCCTTCGAGCTTGTTCAAGAACGACATGCTCTTGGCATATATGTACGGCCTCGAAGGCTTAGCAGATGAACCAGGTTTTTGTTGTTTCTGGCTCCTCTTATACGCGGATCTTAGGTTCGACCATCTTTTCGTAGCTCTTTGTACTGAAAAGTATAAACCGGCGTTACATGCGTTCTTTTCTTTCAGATACAGCGGCTGATGAAAATTGTTAGAGACACCTGTAAGAGATATGTTTAGTTTTCAAGATTCTAATTCTCCTTATGCTGATAATTTAATTTCTTTTCATAATTTCACTGTAAGTATAATAGTTATAATTATTTTTTTTACTATTTTTGTTATTTTTGATATTGTTAATAATAAACATTTAAATCGTTATTTATTAAAAAATCATTTTTTAGAGACTATTTGAACGATTGCTCCTATATTTATTTGAATTTTTATTTGTTTCCCTTCTTCCAAGATTTTATATTATATGGATGAATTATTAAATCCTTATTTTTCTATTAAAGCTGTTGGACATCAATGATATTGATCCTATGAATATCCAGAATTTAATAACTTAGAATTTGATTCCTATATAATTTCTTATATATTAATTGATCAATTAAATAACGATTCATTTTCCAGATGAGAACCTAGTTATATACCGAATTGGTGTTATTTTTTTTTTTTTTAAAAAAGAAGCGTTGGTGTTTGCAAATTGCAGGTATACAATCGGGAATACTTTAGGCTATATTATCTGTCGTATGAACATCGGAACTTGAGAACCACTTGTTACAGTTTCGTTGCTTTATAGATACTGAGCATTTGAATTTCTGTTGCAGTATTTTTGCTACTTACAACGTATCGGAAAAAGAGTCAAGGCTGTGATTGCATTGAAAGGTAGCTCTACAAAATACTCACTTTATCGTTACTTCTTAACTGTATTTTTTACGACTACATAAACTAAGTTTAACTGTTTCGCGTATCTTTAGTGAACAATCGTTGATTAAAAATGATCTTATTTCTGCAGAAAACCATACTTTTCGTATCGCGGCTCTAATAATTCCATCACCCACTGTATTTCGCGTCTCTGCTGTTCCTTCAAAGCTCTTCGAGTGCAATAGTATTCGCCGATCATTTTCTATCTCGAGCTGGGTCAGTCCCTTCGGCAAGACGAATCCGCAAGTCGTTCAATTTCAAGCATCGTTCACTTGTCTCCAAGCAATCAAATTTCACGGAACAATAACAAATACTTACCGTATGCTTTCTTGGCCTCTTCACTCCAATTCTCAAAATTTGCCGCTAACAAACCGCATATCTCCTGCCACTCTGCGTCTTTCAACCTTTTATCTCTGCACGAATGTAAACTTGTATCCCATATAACGGGCCTTTGCTCTATTAAATTAATCAACAATTTTTCATTTATCGGTTCCATCAATCGCCGTTAGCACACTCTCCTCTACGACGACACGCCTGTAAATACGATAAGAAAGGCACGATCATCGATAAGATTTTTACCACCGGATCACTTCGTATCGATGCGTCAATTGTGCCGATTGTAACAGCTATTCCACACTGTACCGATTACATTTACTCTACTCAACGCACTGTTCGTTATTTTCTTATTTTCGACGAGTTTCGAAAGTGCGGACGAAAATACGGAACCGTGGCGTGAACGTTACTCGGAACGTGTACCGGTGACAAAGAAAAAACCGCATCTCGTGTCTTTCTACTCTTCGCTATTCGTCTATCACCTGACGTGAATTTCTCGCCTTCTGTACCTTCCCTCGGAATCGTACGTTTCCATTTTCCTTTCGGTTTCTCATCTTTTCTTCCTCTAATTGAAACAATCCGTATGTCCGATAATTCGTTAGGATAGTTCTTTTCTCAAAAAAAAAAAGAAGCTTTCTTTTCTCATTTAACTTGGCGTTTGAGAATACTTACCACAGAACGTATGGGACGTCGAGCAGAATTAAACAATTCGAAACGAGCGTGTGAAAAGACTAACTAGAACGAGCGGGCAGATATGCGTGCGAGCTCCGAAACACAAGGAACGTTTCGTCCGGTTATCGGAAGATCGACTGGCGTGAATCGAACAATTTGCGAGAGATCAATTTCGCAGTAAACGCGTAAGCATCGGGAAGTCGCACGATATCGATTTATGTCCGTGTATACGATTCACTACTACGATCCCAATGTGTATATATAGATGTATTGTATCTCGATCGAACGAGACGAGTCAGGAAATACTAGACTAATCCACATGCTGGACGCGTGGCTAGAACAGGGCTGACTCGCGGCGTTCACATGTCCCTGCGCACAGTGGAATTAAGAAACTAGACGTTTCTTCGACACTAGGCTTACGCGCGTGATTTTCACGCATTTCGAGTTTCACGAGGGAAATTAGAGAAACCGTTTACATTTCTCCACGACAAATTGTAAATTTTCATTTCTCTCCTACCGATTGTAAATTTTATAGAGATACATAATATCGCATAGTTTCGCTTAGAAGTTAACACTTTACCGACCGGAAGCCTATTAACCCCAGCATTCCCAACCCTCGAGCCGTCACGCGGAGTCCCAACGGGAGGTTCCTCGAACCCACGCTACTTTTTACTCGTTTATCCTAAAGAAAAATTGCTTTCTGCAAAAAGTTTTGTAGTACTTGAACATGTGATGCTTTATGAACATTATTGCAAGTATTTATAAAAAAGAATAATATTATACGATAGAGTGTATACTAACATGAAACTAGTCTGAAGCGATTCGTCTGATGTTATACATGAATAGTTATATAGAGTTATACATCGTTCCTTCCCAATTAGTTCTGTGATTATTTGTTGCTCTGTGGAGATAAGATGAGCGTTGGGGTCCGCTTCACGCGATCGTATTTTTTAGCAACGGGGACTTCTGAATATTGAACTTAAATGTGGACACGACGATAAAGAATTTTTTGAGAATTTTTCCAACTTGTGGTGTGGCGACCAGCTGTAGTGCAGAAGCAAGCATTTGCCACGCGGACGACCAACACGGTTTATGACGTGCGTTTTAGTCTGTTTAACGTTTAGTAAATCTAACAATGTATGTTTTCGTAGAAACATTCACCAACGGTCTCGATAGCAATTTGCCATGTCATAGACCAAGGGTTGCCGAAAGGTCCGCGTACGGGCCCAGAGGCCCAGGACCTGGAGGAAAATCCGCTGAATGCGCTACAGCGGACAATACGCCCCCACCATAATTCGCCGCGGTCCTGGAAAAAGCGCGCCCATGTTTTCGTAGAAACATTCACCAACGGTCTCGATAGCAATTTGCCATGTCATAGACCAAGGTATGCCGAAAGATCCGCGTACGGGCCCAGAGGCCCAGGACCTGGAGGAAAATCCGCCGAATGTGCTACAGCGGACAATACGCCCCCACCATAATTCGCCGCGGTCCTGGAAAAAGCGCGCCCAGGGCGCAAAGGACTAGCGGCGGGTTAAAGACAAAATTCCTGATTGGTTACAACCAATAAGTTGGGGGTGACCAATCCGGAAAAAGAAGAGGGCGAGAAAGAAGCTCGCGAGGTGACTGAGAGTCATTCAAGCAGCCAGTCAGTAAACCTCGTGAGCCAGATAACTAATAAAGACTAAAAAGGAACTTACTGTGTGGGTACTAAGTAACCCACGCACTATCCTCCTATCCTTAAATACCTCTTACAGTGGGTTTGAGGAACTCACCCCTTAGGAATGCTAGGGTTAATCGGCTCTTCGCTGCCAAAGCTTACCGCTCTTTAGTGTTGCTAATTTGAATTTAGGAGAAAGCGAACGATACAGCAGGCACTCTCGCGAATTTTCATTGAAAATTTGTACAGCTGTAAGAATAAGCGCTTATATTCCTGCACGATAGTAAAGACGGAGCCCGAAAAGAGCTGAAGAACGAGCGGTCGGTAAAGTGTTGACAGTGTACGATATGTTGTTTTTAAATGGAATAAGATGCTCTTTAAAGAAAATCTGCGGTTTCGTTAGTGTCCGTAGAGATAGGTATATGAGAAGTGCCCGTAAACCTAGTGACAACAGGACGACTGCCACGATAGAGGGCCGGGAGAAAATTTGTATTACTCGAAGCTGAGTATTGTACAGTGGGCGAAATTGTAAGAAATGGAGATTAATTTTGAAATGAAAATTTAGTTATATACTGAATTTTTGTTAGCTTTCTTAAAGAAGCGTTGGTGTTTACGAATTGCAAATATAGACTTGGGAGTACTTTAGGAAATACTATCTGTCGTATGGACGATATTTTGCATCGGAGCTGCAAATCGAAGCTTGAGAACCACTTGCTGTAGATTTTGAGCATTTGTATTCTTCCTGCAGTGCTTTTGCTACTTATGATGCACAGTAAATTACTTAAAATGTATCGAGAAAAGAGTCAAGGCTGTAATTGCAGCAGAAGGTAGCTCTACCAAATGCTCACTTTATCGTTACTTCTTACCTGTAGTCTTTATGACTGGTAAGTTAGTTATAAAGCTATAAGTTAGTTTTGTAAAGCTAAGTTTAACTGTTTTGTGCATCTTTAGCGAACAGTATTTCTACACAAAGAAAAAACATATTTTTCGTATCGTGGCTCTAACAATTTTATCACCCTCTGTATTATGCTTTATTATTATTTTTTTAAAAATTCCAAATAGTGTCTAGTTAGCTGTGATCGTAATTTTTAGTCGACGATATTCGTTTCATTCGAATTATTCCGAAGGTTTGAGGCCCTCCGGTCATCGACGACCACTATGGCGCCATCGAGGAAGCAATCTTTCGTCACAGGTGACCAACGTGGCAGTCGACGTGTTCTTTGTCGACGATATAAATACATCGAAATAACCGAGTGTTCTGCTTTTGTACACCGTGCATACGAGCTTTTTCCTACGATCAAGACGGTGTGTACATTTGGAAAGCACGAAGATTTCCTGGCCTTGCATGCGATAACCCGGTAACTGCAACCGCAGCAGCATCGATCACGTGAACATCGTCGCGCCAGCCACTTTCTTTCTATTTCCTAACTGGTCTCGTTAGACGGACTATAATTCGATAATGATAACGATGAGAATGACAGTGATGATGATGATGACAGTACACAAACGATAGAGAATATATTATCGAGCGAAACATAGCATATATAGTCTTCATAAAAAGATACTGTTCTACTGGATAATATATATATATATTGTATATAGTGTGATAATGTCATACGTAACTCGGTCAGACTCGTTATCAAAAACATGATTGATATACGATATACAACACAAATATCGAGATAGATATAGATAGATAGATAGATAGATAGAGAGATAGAGTAACAAAGTGTGGTAATGGTTCATTCGAACATGGGAGACAAAAGAACACACGCGAATCCTACTGTGCGTGGATCGTTGGAATGTTTCCGTGGTGACGTTAACAACGATCCGACGTAAAAGAATACCGTTGCATATTAAATGCGTGCAGATGCGAATGTTAGGAACGTAATCGAAACGCCGTTGTTCGCAAGTATTGGGACGTTTCCTCGATAAAGTTAGCGTTGTATGTTGGGAAAAATGTATGTATGGAATATAGGATAAAAGAGTTTGGGACCATTGCGCAGTGTAGGTTGTACAGGAATTTGTAGAGAAAGGTTAGCAAGTTTTATTGTAGAATTTTTTGTCGTTGAAATCAATCGAAATTGGGTAAATTGCTACTGGCCTCCGGTGATTTTGAACTTGTGGCTGGTAGTGTGTGCACTTGTTATACCTACTTGGAGATTTTGAAATGGATCATTCGAATAGTTTTATATTAGACGTGTAATGACAATGAGGCTTGCTGTAGATTTCAATAGATTTTAGTAAATTTTCGTAGGTTTCAAAAGATTTCGATAAATATTAGTAGAATAGAGTAGACTTTTAAAAGAATTTAACAGATTTCAATAAAATTTAGTTGACTTCGCTAGATCTCCGCAGATTTCAAAATATTTTAGTAAATTTGCATAGGTTTCAAAATATATCGATAGATATCAATAGAATACAGTAGATTCTTAATAGAATTCAGCAGATTTCAGTAATTTTTGGTAAATTTCAAAAGATTTCAATAGATTTCAGTAAAATTTAGTAGACTTCGCTAGATCTCCGCAGATTTCAAAATATTTTAGTAAATTTGCATAGGTTTCAAAATATATCGATAGATATCAATAGAATACAGTAGAATACAATGGTTTCTTAATAGAATTCAGCAGATTTCAGTAATTTTTGGTAAATTTCAAAAGATTTCAATAGATTTCAGTAAAATTTAGTAGACTTCGCTAGATCTCCGCAGATTTCAAAATATTTTAGTAAATTTGCATAGGTTTCAAAATATATCGATAGATATCAATAGAATACAGTAGATTCTTAACAGAATTCAGCAGATTTCAGTAAACTTTTGGTAGATTTCAGCGGAGTCCAGAAAATCTCAATAAATTCCATCGGAGCCCAGTAAATTTCACCAAGTGTCCCAATACTCACAAACACAGGTGCCCAAAATCAAACGCAATGCACGTGTGTATACAAGTCTCTCACGAATAAACTAATGCTTGGACGATGCAAAATACACGTGTGTGCGTGTCGCGGTGTGTGCGAAGATTAAAGAAAAAAAAAAAAAAACGAGAGAAGAAGAAGTGGTACCAGCATGAAACGGTAACTTTTACGTAGAAGCGTAGTCTCACGCTGTGACATCGAGCCCCCGATTCCCGCGGCCGCCGAGCGCAAAATTAAACGAAAAATCCTAATCTGACGCCGGATTCCCGTTTAATTTCGCGGCAGCCAATTCGAAACCAGTCCGAACACGAGTTTCTCCGCGAGCATTTCCCGTAGAGAGAAGACAGGAGAGACAGACAGTCAGACAGAGAGATCGAAAGAGCGAGAGTGGAAGAGAGGCGTATAGAGCGAGTGAGAGGGAAAGCAAGCGTGTAGAGGTGCATAGAAAGAGAGAAAATTGTGTTTCTCCGTGTCCGTGGAATGCACTCGTACGTGGTGAAATGTGTGAAAGGGGTTTTTCGGGGGTTGGTGGTCGGTTTGGGGAGCGACGAGTGGAAACTCGCCCCCGAAGCAGATTTTTCTTCTTTCTCTTTTCAACAACGGAGCGCTTCGATGTCACAGACTATTCGTTAACGATAATCTACCGAACGTACGATTCCCACAGCTTGTCCACTTTGCGCATACTTAGGCCTCGATATTCAACACACACTATAAGAGAGCAATAAAAACACGTTCGTGAACCAGAAAACACAGTGGCAAGATGATACTGTACATATACAATATAGATACACATATATATTTCAACTATATATATACGTATCGAGAAACGTATCCGTTAAAGGACAAATACATCATCCGTAAGCGTGCAATTAGGCGTGCAAAATAGAGAGAGAGTGAGAGAAAGTGACAGAGACAGATAGAAATAGAGAGAGAGATAGAGAGAGAGAGAGAAAGAGAGTAGAGAGAGAAAGACAGTAGAGCCACATAGGCAGTGATAGTAACAGCGTGCAGGAGAAGATCATAGTCACAGAGAGTGTCACAAAAAAGACGGTTAAAGGGGTAGTCGAAAAAATTCGTACAGGAAGTAAGAGAGAATCGAAAATTCGCGTCACGATCGACCATGACGGACACCGGCCTCACTTTTTCCCCTCCCCTTCGCCTTTACACGAATCATCCAGCGGAATCTTGAGCTCTTCGCCGTTCCTGCCTCCCTCTAATCTAAATTGAAATCTAATAATCCACGACGAGACGTAGCGTGGCACGTTTCGCCACGCTCGATATCCAACCTACCCTCTCGCGACATTCTCTCTAGGTTGCTAACCGTTCTCCAGCTAACCGTAGGAAAAATTAAGCAAAAACGAAGAGAATGGTGGGCTCGTGTACGAGAACGGGGGAGTAGAGGCACGAAGTCCTCAGGTCGGACGTGACGCTGGCCGTGCACATTGGACTAGCATCATAGCAGAAACAGGTCGCGTCGAATGACTTCGGACAGCCTCTGGTTTAATCTTCGGCCTCCGAGATCATCCTCGACGATCGTCAGTGTACGTGGTGCTTAAGAATACTCGACTCATCGACGACGACAGAGGTGGTCATTGTAACAAACTAAAGGAAAAATGAAAGGAAACATTCTCGAAGAGAAATTATCATCGTCAATTGACAAACGATAACACATAGAGGTTTTTGCCAAGAGGTTCGAGCGTTGACACACGGTTGCGAATCAAAAGTTTCTTTCTCCGCAGGGTGCAGCGGAAAATTGTTCACGCTGCGTCTGTGTCGTGTGTGTGTGTAGCCTCTAGGCACGCTGATTGATCGATCATGCCCAGCCGCATGCACGGCTAGATCGACCGCGTTCCGCTGTTTCCTTACCGACCGATCAATCAGTTACTTTTCCCAGCGCGAGCACATAATCCGCCGGTCTGGAAAATTGCCAGTCTGTCTTTATTACACGTATGCTCGCGTGAATCGCGCGAGCCGCGGTGGCTCTGTTGCTCTGCCCCCGCGTCACTTCTCGGATGTTCCTCCAACGAGGAGAACGATTCGATTGTAATCGATACCGCGTGAAATCACGTCTGGTCGAGATACCTGCAAAAATGGTACCTCCGTATCTCTTTCTCTACCTGCGACGTTGCAACCGATAAATTCGAAATTTCACGATCTCGCGACGCATCCTAGCATGCGGACGCGTCGAGATCGATACCGTAATGGCGTCGTCGCGACGTTCGAGAACTCCGGAACGTTCGGGGTGGTGAATGAAAGAAAAGAAGGGAAAATTGTACAACATATATCGCACACACCTCTGTCATCGCGAAAGCGAGTGGAACGAAAGAAGTACACCAACGGTGTGCGTTTACCGTTGACGTGAAGGAGTGCAGAATGAGCGACGGTGGCAGCGCCATTGGCCACGCGACAGGTGTACGTGCCATTGTGCGCGGGTGCGATCGTGCTAATGCTCAGGGCGCTGGTAAAAGCGTCATATTGCCGGACGGTAATGGCCTTTCTCGGGGACTGTTCGCCCTGGCCGTTCGCCTTGGGGCCACGTTTGGGCCCCTTAATCGCGTCTCCAGGACCGGCCGGGACCTGAACGCGGCTATGGCTCGACGACGTAGCATCCTGCGACGTCCTGTACGTCTCTATCGGGACGTTATCTTTGAGCCACGTGAACGTCAGTGGCAGATCGCCAGTCACGACCACGCACTGTACGCTAGTACGGTCCCCTACGTTTAAATCGCGAGCAAAACTGAAAGGCGTGATTTTAGGTGGCACTGAAAGAACAATACAAAGACAAAGGTGGCATTCCAGTCCAAAGAAGCAGTCTCAGAAATCAACGAAACCAAACGAAATGTGAATGAGAAAGTCGGGCTAATATATAGAGAAAAAATCGCGTTACCCTCAACGGGACGATATTTTCCGTCTATGTGCGTGTTTTCTCTTTTTTATCGTGTGTGTGTGTTACCATCGTTAAGGACGAAAGACACATATGCTATTCTTCCTTTTTTCAACAGGGACAGAGGAGCACACACTTTGAATCGGACGAGTATACGTTATTAAATAATCGTCCACCGGTGCTGTACAATTTCGTTTGTCTCGTAGGAGTGTTCGAGGTGTCGAAGGATGAATTGTACAACATCGGTAAAGTATAGAAGCCACAGCAACACTTAGGACACTCCGTGTAACGGTGGGGAAATGCAGACGATTCAGAAACAGAGAAACGTTGTCCCGATACGTCGAACATGTACATACACACGTCTCTGATGCTTAATGAAAGCGCGGCGCGAGGTCAAAGGCCGGTGATATTGTACCTGCTTGTAATTACACCGGCGTTAATTAAATTTCCATGGCCGGGCCGGGTCGCGCGCGCATGTCACTAAATTAAGGCCTTAAAACGGCAGCTTCAAAGAATATTTCCCTCGGTCCGCGGAATATTCCCTCGGAATTTTATTAGAAACTAGCGTACTAGCGCGCTCCAACCGTTCCCGAAGTATCCTTAATGCCGCGATAACGAGGATATTTATTTGTTGTTGCGCTTGTCTATACATGTAGAAACGGACAGCTTTGAAAGAGATAGAGACAACGCGCGCGTTGCGAACTTCGTACACGCGCTGTGCCAACCGTGTGATTTTCTTCCAGAAAAATGACAAAAACAGAAGAGCGCGACTTTATCGACAATCCTTGAAATCTAACATTTTCGAAATGTTCTCCGTGGAAATGAATCCCGGTATCAGTAGAACAAACCGTTTAATTGGATGAATCCGGCGTTACAGTTATTTTTTTATCGGAATCCAATGGACAGCGTTCCGCCGGTTACGTGACACGCGTTTAATCCCCTCAATTAAGAGTTAACTGCCAATCACCGCGCTACCGTATCACTCTGGAAAGTCTCCTCGGAACACACCTCCATCGAAACGACGTGAAACACGCGGAAAAAACGAGAGAAAGAGAGAGAGAGAGAGAGAGTGGAAAAGAAAAACCCCACTCGTACGATCTTCGTTTTACCGTTGTTTTTCAGTTAAATCGCGCGGCCGTGTATCAACCAGCGTTCGAATCATCGTCGTACGATCAAAGAACAACGTTTCTGTTCGCGAGCAATTTTCAAACACGCGCCACCATGTTCACTCTCTGTAATTGCATTTTTACTACACGCGTCTACGCGAGCCACGATTTCTTTTACACTCTCGTTTCCAGTTTTTCAACCCCGGGGGGCTTTTAATATCGTTTCGAGAGGGGGCCACGGCGATATTCGTAACTCGCGTAATGCGCTTCTTTCAATGAATAAACTGCCCCAGTGCGCGTTACACACAGAGAGAGAACAAGCGGGTGGGTAATTGATATTTAACCGTGGCCGGCGCGCCGTGAAATTTTTTCGTCGATCGGTTTTCACTTTTCCCAACGCGCCGACCCAAACCTGCATCGTGCTCCGCGTTTTCTCTTTCCCACTACTATTCCCTCCTCTCCTCTATTCCAACAGGCCACGAGTGGCATGAAAAATTCACGAAAAATTCAGCGTGGCGGCGCGCTGCCGCGTCGATCGCATTAATGAACTTCCCCCCGTCGATCGAACTCCCCCGCCCGCCCCTTCGATCCTCGTTTTTCCGTTTCAAAGATTCCCCTCTTCGTTCTTCTTTTTTTTCCCCTCCTCTCTCTCCGTTTTTATCTCCCTCCAGTTCCGTTAACGTTCATCGAATATCTCGAACCCCGTTCGGACAAGCTTTAGCAATTAATTCGCGCGCGGCACTCGTCTCGCTAGCGGGGGAAACGCGTGAAATTTTCGCCTAACAGAACGGAAAACAATGAATCGTTACAAGCACTCCGGTTGATTGCTTTCGCACAGTCGCGGCCGTGTAATTCGAACGCGTGAGTGTTTATAAGCAGCGTTTTCGACGTGTTTAACGGTTTCCTTCCGAGTCAATTATGGAAAATTGCCGATAAAGTCGGGCTTGTTTGAGCGGAGGGAGCGGTTTTTCGAGTGGATGCTCGACACAGAAGTGCGCAGCGCGCGCGTAAAGAATAGGGTACTGAGTCACGTTTAATAGAATATCGATGCTTCGACAACAGCGGATTTTATGTACAAGTGCGTGCACACGGCCGAAACGAGTACGCGGGACGCTCGAATTTAAAAACGGCGGTGTGTCTTTGCGTAGAACCGTGGGATCACTTCGTGGCCGTCTCTCGTTTTGTCTGCCTGGCGAAATATTACGTTAGGAAACGGCGGTACGTGATCAGAAACCTGGCTCCGCTGCGAGAGTCGCTTCGAACGTGACGAATTAAAGGCTCAATGGAATTCGCGGAGTCTTCGTTTAATCCTTCCTTCAAAATTCTGGGACGGAGAAGATGTTCGGTTTAAGCTGTGCAAGAAGTAAGGGAAACTTTGGGATTGATTAATGTTCGGCTGCTGCGTGAGTTTTGTTCGTTGCAAATTTCACCTTTGAAAATAGATTATACTTAGTTCAGACTGAGTATTTTTCGGTATTATTTCTGATTGTATTCTGTCTATGTGGAAATTGTGTCGTGCCTCTTTCGTAAATTTTCTTGGATTCGTCGTTAAAAGAAGAACTTACCGCACTTTTCGTAGTTTCCAAATTATTTCAGTTCTTTTGAGCTTGAAATATTTTGTAGAGATCGAAAAATGTGAAAATCTGTTGGTAGAAGATCTGGACATTATCGTGAACGAGGAATATTTTTTCTTTGGCGTTACTATCGTCGCGCGTGCTCTTGCATTGGCGTGAAGGTATAGTCGGTGGAAGCGATACAGTGAGGTGGCAGATGAACCCTACTGCGTTCTTCGTTTTGACTGTACACTTAAGACTTTTGGGTGAAAAAGGACCTAAGACCTTACGTGTAATAATTTTTGTTTCCAACGCGACATACGAACCTAGACGATAAACGTTTAAAATAATGTTAAGGAACGTAAACTTGATAACAGCAAAAATGACTAAAAGTACAAGAAGGCGGTGGGTCAAAAAAGACCCGAAGACCGTTCTAGGGTTAAAGTATTAAGCGGCAAACGATTTTCACTTTCAAAACTAATTTAGGAAGCAGGAAAATATTGAAAATGCTTCTCTTAGAGATTAAGATTAGTGCTGTTGTAATACAATGTAATACAATTGTAATGTTTCTTCAAACCGTGAGAACTTCCTCTTATGGAGACACTTTACAACACTTGAATTGTGAATTTTAATTTCAGATTTCAAGCTAGATTTCCTTCAACTAATTCATACGAACGAAACGACTGACAAAACTCATTCAGCACCCAAACAAAATCAAAGATAACAATTTCACTATATCAAAGCCACTTGTCAGCGTCGATATTAACTCAAGCGACATTCCTCGCTGGCCAACGTTACCCAAGTATATTCCCTCAGGTACAGCGTACGAAGGTAAACTTTAAAGCGATTAAACGGAAAGCGAGCGTATCGGTTCCGCGACGCGAGCGTCCCGTTGTATCGCACAAGGGCTCGCGTGCACGCGTGAGAGCTGCCTCGTACCTTTCCAAGACGGTACGTGGCATCGGCGCGTCATGAATTTTTATGTACAAAAGTACACGTACGGAATATAATATACAGAGCAGTTTAGGCGAGCGCGTGCAAGGACAGATGCTTGAGCGATGCAGTGAAGTGCTGTGCTCTTGGTGCGTGGGTTCGTTCGCGGAGTGTTGTCAAACGCACGGATATCCGTTGACGCACATAGAGAAGAGATATAGACAGATAGTATAGAGATAGACAGACAGATAGAAAGGTAGAGTGAGATAGAGCGAGATAGAGAGAGATAGAGAGAAAGAGAGAGAGAGAGAGAGAGTAAGAGATGGACGCATACACGCACACGTACACACCCTAGCGCACATGTATGTACACACGTTGCACCGTAATCCCTGTAGTATCCTAAGGAAGCTATCCTATGGTATACGGTAAGAAAAAGAGTTTCTCGATCGTGTCCAGAGATCAATCCTCTCCGCTGCTTACGCACGACTGTACAGTCCTTCTGTAGTCGAACGATTACGTTTCACAGAGGTGTACACACCATCTGCGTGGCGTATCGTGTGCAGTGTTCACCTTTGATTGTCCCCTTTGCTGCTGCGAGCCGGATTTGCTTCGGTGGAGGCGGAGGAACGTGTAAGACGGATTGGTAATCGATCTTGCTTCGAACATGCTCACTTTACGTTGCAACGTATAGATTACCAAGCACGGGTAATCTTGTACCTCGGTGGTTAGATATTACTCAGGGCCAATGTTGAGCCATTTTTACGACGATAATCGATCTTGCGGATCGGTGTTTCTCGGTTTAGAACGTTCGTCACTTGGGCGGGAAATTTGAATAATTTTAGGGAGTAATTAGAAAATAATACTGCATTCCTCGTCGTATTATTATTATAGTTAAAAAATCAGCATTGTAGGCGTTAAATTGTCGAAGCTCAAGGATGGCATTAACTTGGAATTTATTTCTTCGACTTTAGTTCGATGTATGTTTTAAACGTGCTATGCAAAGTGTAACGTGTAATTTATATTCACCGAACAAAGTAAAATAAAAATTTTTCATTTGAGGTACCTATTTATATTATACTTTTTCAGAATTCACTTGACTATTATGCTAAAGGAGGCCGTAAAATCCTCGAGACGTTGAGGTGAACGATCCAAAAAACGTCGAGAGACACCGATAAAGATCGACGAACTGGATTTTACCCTAAACGCTTCCTCTCGTTCGTAGAAACGGTTACGAGAGATAGATTCGCGAATTCCATATTCCCACGCTCGAGAGGATCGCTTTTAACGAACTTCGTCAAAGTATACAAAATGGCGACCGGGGTTAGCAGGGGCGCGGCGCGATTTTGCAGGTCAACAGGCGCGATTAGGAATCACGCGAACGGCGTTCCCGTCTCCACCGAAGCGGCCGCCAGAGAGTGGATCCTTTGAGGCAACTTACGGGCAAGTTTCTCGAATTTTTCGGACGTTCCGTCGCACTTTGCCAGCTCTGCCTCGGAATCATAGGTACACAGAGAGAGAGAGAGAGAGAGGGCGTTCCTCCGGTTCTCTTTTCCCGTGGCAACGTCGATTAAACTCGAGTGCCGCACCGAATCGTCGTACTCGAGGGTGATTTTGGCGCGCGCGCGCGGAAGTCGGAATAGAATTTCTCGCGCGATCTTCGACGGAACAAAAGACCGAATCGAAAAAATTTCGAAATACACAGCGACAATACACACGTACGTACGTACGTACCTCGCGACACGGGAAAATGAATTTAATTCACGCGTGAACGGGGTCGTCGGTTTAACGACGATGCGGCAACAATTAAAAGACGATAATGGAGCGAGTTTCGAGCGATAAAGCACGTTGCTCGCGGGGACTCGCGGTATTACTGGCGTTTCCGAAAATTCGCGGCATAGAACCAGTGATAAACCCGGTGAAGCCGGGAGTGGAAATGCTGCCTCGCGTTAACTAATCCCGCCCAGGGATGAACAATGGAGTACACGGAATTTGCTCCGTAAACCTAATATAGAAACATTTTGTGTGAAGGTAAATTTGGCGGCACGCATCAAACACGCCGGGATGTTATGCATACACGAATTGTAATTAATATGCGATTGCCGTGGGGACGGAAAATTACGGAGGGGACCAGTGCCGGCATGAAAGAGGGGTGTCGGGGCTGGGAGGAGGGTAAACGGAATGGGGGCGGAGGAGTGTATCAAACAAAGGGACGATATAACTTCGCGTATGTCAATGCGGTGATTATCCGTTGCTAATCGTTCTTTGATATCTCCACTGGTCACGTATGGTGCCTAATTAAATCTGGACAATTTTTTAAACCTACCCTGTGCACCTTACCAACCCTTTGCACTCTGAATTCTTTCCAACAACTCCGCGTTGTTTTAAGTGTTTTACTTAAAAAGTGCTTAAAAGGACAACTAGTCGGTAGGAAGCAACGTAAACAATTGCTCCGTTACACGTATACGACACTTTTCTATAACAGTTGCACTTCTTCTTGTTATAAAAAAGGGTCGTACACATGTAACGTTGCTCATCTAAGTATGAAAAGAATATTGCGAAATATGATACATATTTAAACTGGCAATTTAAAAATGTCGAGTGTGACTCGACGTGCCTGTGAATAAAATTGACGTCGAGTCGCACTCGACGAAGGAGTGCAAAGGGTTGAATCTATGAACAAACGATTACCGAATAAAAAGGAACATTTACCAGCGATCGAGTGTTTTCGTTAAAAACAGAAAAAAGAAAGATGTCTCCAAAGGTTACGTTAATTCGCACTCCATCAAAACTTGGCCAACACGGTTGTGTGGGGAGAGGAGAGGGAGAGGGCAAACCGTACGTGACCAATAGAGTTCAGATGCCTCGGGAAATTAAATCGGTCCTGGCCTGCGAAGCCTGCAAAAGAGACCTGTATCGGAAAATATTTGCTCGCTCGTATCACTCACCTAGAACGCGCACTTCGACGGAACGTTGCGAGGTGAAGTTATGCTTGTTCCTCGCAGTGCACATGTACGTGCCCTGATCGGCCGCCCGTTGCACCGTATCGATGAAAAGGCTGCCGTTCGCGACCCTCTGCCTCATGTTCGTGGGCAGCCTCACTCCGTCTGCTAACAACGTGACTGGTCAATTTGCCACGTAATCGTCGATCGATCGGTATTAGGGAAAAGTTCAAGACGCAGCTTCGACGAATTAAGTATAGGAATTTAATCGCTCGACGAACATACGAATTTCTTTTCCGTTTCTTCGTTTTCGAGCGGGACACGTTTAGAACGTTACCAGATAGGAAGACGAAATTAATACTCACCTTTCTCCCAAATGATCGATTCGATGGGATAGCCAGCGACCGGGCATTTGATGTGAAACTGTTTCCCAGCGACCGCTGAAACCGTCGACATGGGCCTGACGTATGGCAAACCTGCGATTGACAAGCAATGAAACGTATATATATTTCCAACGATTCACCTCTTGCCGCGACATACGCCTCGCCGTCTCCGCAATTCTCTTTTGTCGCACTGTCGCTGGAACGTAAGATTTGAAACTTGAAAATTAGTGCAAAAAGAAAAAAAAAAGAAGAGGTTTGTTAAAAGTGGTTTAACCGGAATAAAAATCTTGCAGATTCCACGAGGATTCCTCCATTCCCCACTCATCGTCCGGCTCTACTACGTTCCGCAGCCAGCGTAAATCCGTTGATAAAACAAAAGCTGCGAGGCGGTTTTTAATTAACAGAAACCACCCTGCGCGGGTAGGGGGCGGTGGTTAATGACAAAGGATCCCATCGAGCCGATATTTCCAACGATCGATTCAAAAGTGGGGTGGAGAAGTAAGAGGAAGGGAGAGAGAGAGAGAGAGAGAAAGGGGAACGTAATATTCTCTCGAGTTTCCAGTCAATTTCAATCGACACCGACCAGCGATTCTTCTCCTTAACAGTCTCCCTTTCCCTCCATCTCTCTCTCTTTTACCAGCCGGCAAATCCCTTTCTCGCAATAAGTACTCACCGTAAATATTGAGCCTAGCAGAGTGGCTAGCCTCGCCAGCGCGGCTACTCGCGATGCACTCGTACTCGCCTCCATCTTCAGACTTCACCGACGAGATGTTCACATGTGATATCACGTCCCCGTACACGGTCACGTACTGGCCAATCAGAAGCCTGTCGTTTTGCGGAAGCGGAAATCCATCCAGCAGCCAGGAAATTTGCGGCGTGGGATTACCCGCGGCGCTGCATTTCAGAGAAACCGATGGACCGGTCTGCATTGTCTGTTCGATAAACCTGTAGACCAGCTGCGGCGCGATCTCTGTTAACAGGCGTTGCGCACGGATTACACATACCTCGAACCATCGGAATACCACGCAGCACGCTACTACATTTCTCTTCCTCTACTCGTCCACCCTTTCTCTCTCTCCCTCTATATTTCTCTTTCACCCTCTTTCATCGTTGCCTCTTCTCGTTTCTAACCCCGATCGACCCCGTTGCGATTCTCCTTCTGCTAATTACCACCTACTTCTGCCTTCCGCCACAGCTCCTCCGCTAATATCCGCCTATTTATTTACGAGATAAACGCGCCCCGGAATCCTCCCGATTCCGCCCTTCCCGCAGCACCGTGCCTCGCGCGGTTCGATCGTCGGATCGAACGGTTAAAGAGCACGGACGAGGAGAAACGTGGCGTTTCACCGGCGTGGCAGATGTAAAATCGAGGCGTCGTTGCGCCCCGAGGGTACACGACCTCCGACAGATTTTTGACTCGGCCACTCGAGTGGATCTGGGTCAGCGTTATAGTACAGCTCTACTACTTTATCGCGGCACGAAAAGAGCCTCTGTTTCATACTCCGTGGCGTAAGGAGTGTACGAGCGACATCGAGCAACTTTTAAATCGATTACACTTTCTTCGCTCGTTTTCTTCAAAGAACCAGCTAGACGAAAGTTTTTTTTCTCAGGGTGTAGATTGACAAAAGTGGCGGCGAGGAGAGAGAGAGAGAGAGGGTCCTCGTAGCAACGAATTCTCGCGGAGATTGTTCTCCATCCGTTCTCATTAAGTGGGCTTTAATAAGCAAGAGGATTTTCTGCTAAATAATTGGCCGGGAGATTAATGGATTCTAGGGATTAAGAGTGGCGCAACTTAACGAAGAAACATTGAAAATAACCGCGGCGCGTTCGCAGGGATGCGTTCCAGTTCCAGGAGGGCTCTAAACGAACGTGCCTCTCCGCGTAACGAGCCCTGCCGGTAATGAATTCATGAACTTCATAAGCGTGAGCACGTCGACTACGAAATAACAGCCGACTTTCCTTCCAACTTTTCGTATGCATGCCGTGATTCTTGCACGGAATACCGCTACACGGTTACAAACCTCTGACACTTTCCTCCCGCCGCGCGCGCCGTCCTCTCTCTGCGCGGCGTAACCTGTTACGAGAGGTGGTGCCGCGGAAAAACACCGGCTGGAAAACTTGGAAAACGAGGTTTCTTCTCGCTGCTTTCCACCGGTCCCCCGTCATTCTTCGTCTGTCTGCCGCTCAGGCGACCTTCTCCAATTCGCCTTTTTCCACGGAGTTTTAGCGACTCTTTAAGTACGCGCGAATCGAGCCGCCACGAAGAACGTCTGCACTTTAGTGTTCTCTACCCTGACTCTTTCGCTGCGACCCGGAGGACTCGGTTTTTAGGTGGGTTTTTTGGCAACGAGGAAAATTCAGTCGCTCGGTGGAAAGGGGGAGTTTTGATCGAGATCAGAATGTTGCGGGATTTGGTCGTGAATTAGGGA